GAGCCTGGGTGGTCCCTGAATTTGATACCTGTGCTGCCAGCTTGAGGTCACCTTGCTGCACTTCTCACCATCCCTTCTGACTCTGGGGACCTGCCCTTCACCTGGAGAAGCTGAGAATGCAGAGTTTCCTGGGCACCACTGGGAATCTGGTGGCCTGGTTCTCAGGATGGAAGCACGTGGCCGGCAGGCCATCCCTGCCCAGGCCTGAGTCCCAGCTACAGCTCAGTGACCTTCCTTTTCCCTAGGCTCCTACAATCCCATGACCCTAGGCCTGTTCACTCTGGTCTACTTCTTCCTGGCCTGCTGGACCTATGGCCTCACAGTATCTGCTGGTGTCTTCATCCCATCCCTGCTCATTGGGGCTGCCTGGGGCCGACTCTTTGGCATCTCCCTGTCCTACCTCACAGGGGCAGCGGTGAGTTGGGAGAGGCATGCCAGAACTCCACTGCTCAAGTGTTCCGGTGACCCTAGGAGCCAGAACAGGGGAAATCGGGGTATCTAGTGCAAGTAGACAAAAGTTCTGACACTATCAAGTAGTCTTGTCATGTAACTGTGGAGACATGTTGGGGAGGTGAGTGAGACTGTCACAAGGGAAAGGAGCCCAGATCCTCCAGCACTGACCTGCATGTAGGCCTCTTAGCCCTTCCTGTCACCAGCTCCTGGTGGAGCTCGGGGTCTCCATCTGTGTGTATGTTTTCTCACTCCAGTCGTTTGAGTGAGACTGACAAACGATAGAAGGGATAACAGCAGGAAGCCTGTGTCTGCCCCTCCCCGTCCTCAGGCTCAATTGTCTGTCGAAATCTCCTTTTGGTTGGGGTCTGTCTCTGAGATGTGATTCATAAGAATGATTGCTTTGAACATAAACAGTTCAGTGGCATTTACTAGATGCTTAGCATTGTGCAGCCATCACTTCCAGCTCCAGAGCTCTTTCTTCACCTAGACAGGAACCCTCTGCTGTTCAACGTCGATCCCGTCTTCCCTTCCCCAGCTCTAGTAGCCTCTAGCTTCCTGCTGTCTCTGGGCTCATCTGTTGCTAACACTTCCTAGGGCACACAGCGTGCACCCTCATATGTCTCTGCAGTCTCCAGTTGAGTGTGACGTCTGCTTGTTCATCTCTGTTGTAGCATGTCCTAGAATCTTTTCACAGCTGAATGTCTTTCCTTGGGTGATCCAGTGTGTCTGCGTGGGCAGTGGCACCTTGTGCATACTTTTGCTCTGCTGTCCTCCTTCATGTAGGTTTCTCAGCACAAAGCAGGCACAGTCTTCTGAACTCATGGGTGTGGGCAGGTGGTAGGTAGAGTTTGTATACCTCGTCCCTATTCAAGGCACACCTAGCTGGAACGTTAACACACAGGTTGTAGCAGAGGGCACTGGAGTAGAATGTTCTGTATGTGAGCCTTGGAATTCACTCCTGTGTGTGGATCAGTAGGCCAAAGCATAGCATCTTCACTGGAATGCCCTGGCAGATTTGGGTGAGGGTTGCCACTGCCTCTGATACTCAGCCATGTTGCCTCCCACAGATCTGGGCAGACCCGGGTAAATATGCCCTGATGGGAGCTGCTGCTCAGCTTGGTAAGCCCCAGCTTTTGCCCTGTTTGGTGAGTGGTTCTCACTTGTACCCTGCCCATCCATTGTGAGTTCCACCAAGACTGGCCTTTGCCATTCATGTGAGCAAAAGAGGACGTGAGGCAGGTGAGGTCATCAGCCCCATGGCATGGCCAGGTGGCAGTAGTCAGGGCCCAGCAGTTACCATCCTTGCCTCTGGGGTCTGGAAAGATAGGCGGGTAAAAAGACTGCAGACATAGGCAGAGCTGGGGATCCTGTGTTAAGAGGGATAGGGGCTTATGACTACCCCCACAGGTGGGATCGTGAGAATGACCCTTAGCCTGACAGTCATCATGATGGAGGCCACCAGCAACGTGACCTACGGCTTTCCCATCATGCTGGTGCTGATGACTGCCAAGATTGTGGGCGATGTCTTCATTGAGGTATGCAGCATGAGAGGGGTGGTTTGCCTCTACTTACCCTGATGCTAACCTTGTAGCCTAACACTGGGGTTCGAGGTTTCTTCTGCAGCTGCAGAAGAAAGAGGGCCCATTGAGCCACTCCCATATGCCCTCAGGACTAGGGCAGTTGTAGGGCTCTGAGGGAGGCAATGTGCCTTCAGGACCCCGGGCCGGGCAGTGTCCTGAATCATGACTCTGTACCCAGGGCCTCTATGACATGCACATCCAGCTGCAGAGTGTGCCCTTCCTGCACTGGGAGGCCCCGGTCACCTCACACTCGCTCACTGCCAGGTATGGCCAGCTGGCCTGCTAAGCCCTTGGGTTCCTGGGTGCTGTGGGTGGATGTGGACAGGGAAAACACTGAATGTCTGTGGAGAGCCCAGGTACCAGGGTTCTTACTGTAGCTGGTCCATGGCTGGTTTTCCAGTGCCTGGTTAAGTCTGTAGCATGGAAATGGGGGTCTTGGGGTCCCAAGTCTGACAGCTTCTTGTCTGTCAAGTATTCACATGATACTAAAGCTCTTAAGGAAGTACCTTGACAGCACATGGTATGAATGTCACAGAGATAGGGTCAATGGGTTGGACCTCTTGGCAGGGAAGTAATGAGCACACCTGTGACCTGCCTGAGACGGAGAGAGAAGGTTGGAGTCATCGTGGATGTTCTAAGCGACACAGCATCCAATCATAATGGATTCCCCGTGGTGGAGGATGTGGGAGACACCCAGGTACTGTGGGCACCTCTCTGAGTATCAGTCCCTTTTTATTTTGTGCCCATGAGCAGCATATATTGGAGGAATTCAACATGTAGTTCACCTGATCAAGATACCTTTATTTTTTTTCAAGATTTATTTTTATCCTGTTTATGTGTTCTACCTGCATGTGAACCACCTGCGTGCATGGTGCCTGCAGAGGCTAGAAGAGGGTATTGGATCCCATTGGAATTGGCATTACAGTGGTTGTGAGCTGCCATGTGGGGGCTTGGAATCAAGCCCGGGTCTTCTGCAAGAGCAAAAGTGCTCTTAACCACTGATCTGTTTCTCCAGCCCATGAGCAGGAAATGTTGTGTTGGATATAAAGTAAAATCCCTCTCTTAGCTGGCCTGTCCCCACAGACTACAAGCCTTGTATAGTTCTGACGGGACTGGACTTCTCAGTCATGGTGTTGGTGGCTGTGACATCTGTCAGGAGGTGCCAAAGAGATGTGAGACCAGCTGATGTTTACCCCCGGCCCAGTTCTTACTCTGTTGGGATATGTTGGACATTGGCACTGGTGGCTTGAAAGAAATGTGAGAAACATTAGGTCTTGCTACCTGTTGATCCCATTCTCAGCAGGTGGCTTCCATGCTCTGCTGACAGGGTTAGCCCTGTCTCAGATACTTTAGGGATTAGCAGGATTGTGTGTGAGAGATGCCCATTTCAAGGCCTGTGCTTAGAGGTGACCGCTAAACAGCAACCGTGGGCCAGAGTTTCCCACTGCAGTCTCAAGGCCTCTGACTCTTTCCTCTCCAGCCAGCCAGGCTCCAAGGCTTGATCCTGCGCTCCCAGCTCATCGTGCTCCTGAAGCACAAGGTGCGCCCCGCAGTCCCTGGGTGGGAGTGTCCTGGGCACCATCCTTCATAGTGGCAGATATATAACTGGCTGCTGCCTGCAGGTGTTTGTGGAGAGGTCCAACATGGGTCTGGTACAGCGGCGGCTGAGGCTGAAGGACTTCCGTGATGCCTACCCACGCTTCCCCCCAATCCAGTCCATTCATGTATCCCAGGATGAGCGGGAGTGCACCATGGATCTCTCTGAATTCATGAACCCCTCTCCCTACACAGTGCCCCAGGTACTTATTGACCCAAAGGAGTTGGGGGCAGGGCTGTGATATGGTTGACCTCCAGGGCCCAAGCTCGATGCCTTGTACACTTTGAAAAGGTGGTAAGGAGCCTCTGGAGTAACTGCTACCAGGTAGAGAGGAGGCCTTCAGGGATGGTGCAAGTCGGGCTTGCTGCCTGGGTTGGGCCATCTGACAGAATTTATCAGGGACAGCCTGAGAGAATTTGGGCTTCAAGTAGCATTGGGCCTCAGAGAACCCCACTAGTAGCACATAGGGGCTTGGAGTCAGGTATGCAGGGAAGGCACAGCTCAGGACTCTGGAAATGCCTGGTTTGGGGGTGGAATCCCTTTCCACAGGGGAGTGAAGTGGGCTAAAGGCAGTTGACTACCTTGCAGGAGGCATCTCTTCCTCGAGTGTTCAAGTTGTTCCGGGCTCTGGGCCTGAGGCACCTGGTGGTAGTAGACAACCGCAATCAGGTAAGGCTGCGCTCTGTCCCGCTAGAGAGTGCTGGAGCAGGCTCACACTCTGCTTCCTGTATCCCTGCTCTCTGGTGGGTGGACATTGGGTCTTGTCTGTCTCGGGACAGTGACCCTTGGGACCTAGCCTGTAGTTGCACGCCTACTTAGCACTGGTATGTGGAGTATGCTGTCATATGGAGGGAAGTGACCTGGTGTTGTTTCTGCAGGTGGTCGGCCTGGTGACTAGGAAGGACCTGGCAAGATACCGCCTAGGGAAGGGAGGCCTTGAAGAGCTTTCACTGGCCCAGACGTGAGGGTTGGCTCTACCCTTGTGCAGTGGCACCCGAGCCCCTCTGCACCTCCTCCTAGGGTCCCTGGTCTCAGCCAAAGCCTTGCCCCCTGGGCAGTGCAACAGCAGGAGCAAATGCCCTCCTGGGCCTGGCTGGTGTGGGGCCAGACCCTTTGTCTTGGGCAGTTGGTTTACATCAGCAGCGCTTCCCTTGTCCCCAGACCCTCCACCCCTTGGACTTGCCCCTCTCCTGGGTTCCTCCTCCAAGGATGAAATGTGTGTGATCACACCCCTTGTGGCTCACTTCTCAGAGCCAATAGAGGCTGGTGTGTGTGTGTGTGTGTGTGTGTGTGTGTGTGTGTGTGTGTGTGTGTTCAAAAGGAAGAAAGAGAGAAAGAAAGAGAGAAAGAAAGAAAGAAAGAGAGAGAGAGAGAGAGAGAGAGAGAGAGAGAGAGAGGGAGGGAGGGGAGGGGGGGCAGGCAGGCGTGAGCTTCTACCTATTGTTGTTTCTTCTGATTCTGAGCACCTATGCTGAGGTTGTGGTTGTACTGCCCAGACCAGCCAAGAGCTTCAGCAGCAAGGGCATGAGGAGCTGTGCGGCCTGGAGCAGGCTCTACTGGGGAGCCCACATGTGCCATCCCATGTCTTTATCCAGAAGATGGGGAGACTGGTTCTATGCCTAGGGCTTGAGAGCTGAAAATCACATGAAGACTGAATCTGAGTTCACCTGCATCTGCCCCAGGCTGGAGGTCATGGCATTGTGGACCACAGCAAGTCTTCCCGCGGCACTTAGGACCCTGATGGCCATAGTGGCTTTGCTATTGACTGTACTGTGTACACCCTTGGGCAATGGCCTTCCAGGACCTGGCCATCCAAGGGTGGCCCTAAGATGGACCTGTAGCATCAGAGCCAAGGAGCCTCACCTCTGACCCTGTATTGTCAAAGCTGGCTCCACTGGACCAAGCTAAACCTGAAATCCCGAGTCAGAGTCTTCTCCCCAGGACGCATTGTAAAGATAGTTGCAGTTATCTCTGACATGTCTGTTACAAGGCCACATAGGTCCTTCTTTGGAAAGCTGGCATCTGCTGCCTCTCAGTTGTCCTCCCTCCAAAGGCGTGGCTCTTCCTTCTATGAGGAGATTGACTAAGTGTGTCGTTGAGTCTGGATCTGAGAAATGAGAGACTCCTTTTCTCTGTCTAGGGCTCAGCATTCTGGGGAGTTAGGCACTCAGCATGTTGATAAAATAAGTGCACCTTCTATGGACAGTAGCTGCTGTCTGTGATGGGCAGTGGTTGCAACTCTTGAGGAGTACTGCAGCTAGCCCAGGGCCCAGTAGGGGGGTCATCCAGGGGCCCTGACCTCCTCATCCCCATCTTACAGCCTTGCTCTCAGGCTCACTGCAGAGTGTGGTTTCTCTCACCTGCTTGGATGACATCCTGTCCCCAAGCCTGGGCATGCCAGGCTCTGCATGACAAGAAGTTTAACTGACCCACCATGCCTGCTCCGCTGGCCCTGGTGGGTAGGTCTTCGTGACAAAGCCAGGGGTGCTCTGGATTGGGAAGGGCCATATCTAAGTTGGACCCAAGGGCATGAAGAACACTGCACAGGGCCTCAGAGACTTGGTACCAAAAACGCATGTGCAATCTGTTCACAGTCTGTGTTGACTACATGTTGAAATGATATTTTTGGATATATTAGGTTAAATAAAACAAAACGTTTCTCCCAATATTCTCATTATGGCTCTAGGGAAGGCTGAGTGGCCTCATTTGTGACTGCCATCCTACCCTCTGGGTGTCTTTTCCCAGATTCAGGGCTAGCTATGTCCCATTTGCCTGGGACCCTCACTTTCTGCTCTATGTGTGTGACTCAGGGCCTGTGAAGGTTCATGGACAACCTCTTCACCATGGCCATAACCCAGTAGCTCCAGAGCCAGAGGAGACCCTTTTGCAAGAAAAATGCTTCATAGTCCCTCCACATCTTTCCAGGAACCAGAAGTTAGGGAGCCTGCAGGACAGGGTGGATGAGGACTCAGGTTCCACTGGCAGTTGGCCATGAAGTCATAGGGTTCTGATGAGAAAAGGAAGGTTCTAGACTAACTCGGCTGTACCTGCCTCCTTCAGCAGGATTCACTGAGGAGGCAGGTATAAGGGCAGGACCCCACTACCTCATACTTCAACTGCTCTCAGGGAATCCACAGCCTTTCCTCCTGAGTCATCTTCTCCCAAAGGTCCACAGTCTCCTCTCCAACCCTGTCTTCTCAAGATCCAGACCTCTCCTCTTGACCCTCACCTCCCTAAGTCCCACAGCCTCTCTAAATCCTTGCCTACACTGTCCCAAAGCCTTCTCTTCTGCCCCTCAACTGGTCCCCAGTCCCTGCAGCTTTCTGGCCCTGATTACTCGCCTCCCTTCAGCCAACCTCTCAGCCACCCTGGCCTTGGTGTCCAGCTCTGGGCAGTCACAGGAGCTGATACCATAACCTGAGCTACAGGTGGTGACTGCAGGTGAAGCCATGTCAGGTGAGTGTAGAGGAGCGTATATGCAGAGCAGTCCCACTTCTGGACCTCGTAGGGGTTGATGGAGCTGGCCAGGTGGAAAGTTGACTATTCTTGCTTCCCAGAACTGTGTGTCCTTCCTCGGGGCCCTTAACCCCTCTTACCTGAACCTCTAGCAGGGCTGATCTCTGTGACTCAGTAAGGGCTCAGGTTGGCATGGAGCAAGTTTACTGCTATCTCCATGCATGAACTCCCAAGGTGCCTCCTTCCAGAGCTAGCAGACAGCTCCTCACTCGGACTTTCACCTCCTTCACAACTGAGCAACGTCACACTCGAGGACCTGGAGCTGCTCTTAACAGAAGGCCTAGCTAGTCCTGAGCCCTTGTGTGTGGAGACCCCGGAGAGGTATGAGTGCAGTGGCCTGGTATCCAGCTCCTTAATCCCTGAACACGACACTCCTAAGCAGCGGAAACTGCTGGAGCAATGGTGAGCCTTGCTGAGTATGAGAAACAGGGAGATGACACACTAAGGGAGTTAACCTCTAAGAGAGACACAACTTGACCCAGCTGCTCTGGCCCTGATCAGGGTAGCTGAGCTGCAGGCTGAGGTGCTTCGCCTGAGGGGACACAAGGACCGCTGTGAGCATGTCACACTGGGGCTGCTTCGTGAGCTGCTGCAGGTCCGTGCCCATGTGCAGCAGCAGGCCTCCGAGCTGCACCAGCTGAGGCAAGAAGTGCAGCAGGCAGCTCGGAGCCCTAAGAAAGAGGCGCTAGAGGTGAGACCCCGGGCAGGGCAGCAGACATAAGCAAGCCGCCCTTTTCCTGGTGCTTGGAACAGCTTCCTGGACCCTGACCCTACTGATCCCAGTGGTTCCATGCTCTGACTCCTACACATCCACCTGCATCAGTGCTGGAGGGACTTTGCAGACAGCATACTTGGCCTACCTGGGCCTACCTGGTCCTTCTTTCCTCCTCCTTGCAGTTGTCTGGGCCTCAGAGCCAGAACCAGATAAAAGCCCTGGATAAAAGGTACACACACACAGACAAGCATAAGCTTCAGTGGGAGGGACTGGGGCCCACCCATGCTTCCCACAGTAGCTCGTGTTAGGGTCCACGTGGGTGTCCGTTCCCCTAACTGGACTTGTTTAAGTAAACGATACCTATAATAGTCCAACTCAGACTGGGCCCTGCATACAGTGGGGCAGACTGCACAGATGGGGGAGGCTGGTTGCAGAGCCCCATGGCTAGACCTGCAGCAACAAATGCTGCCTAGCTGCTCTGGGGCTGGCAGGGCAACTCCTTGTGCCAGGCTGGTGGAGGTCCGAGAGGCTTTGACACAGATCAGGAGGACACAGGTGCTACAGGACTCAGAGCGGAAATGTACCGAGCAGGAGATAAGTCTCAGGTGGGCCAATTCCCTGGACTAGCTCCAAACCAGTTTGGCATACACATTGGGAGTCTCAGGCCTGACCAAGGATGAGGTCCTACCTGCCCTGTGCCCCTAGTGCCACCAGTGGGCCATCCTCTGCCATTAGTGACGCACTGCTGACTACTGGGGGCCCCACCTGCCTGTTCTCCTTTATTAGGTGCCTTGCCCTCACTAGGGACTCCAAGGTCTATTTCCACTTCCGTGTGTTACCTGAGCAGGTTGTGTACCCCAGTCTAAGAAGGAGCTAGGGTCCCAAAGCCCACCAGCATCACTGTGGTTCCCCAGCTGAGTTGGTGTTACCACACCTGCTGCCTCCAGGGTGACCAAGCTGACTGACTTGCTGAGGCAAGAGGAGCAGGGCCGGGAAGCAGCCTGCAGCACCCTGCAGAGGAACCAAGAGGACACCAACCAAAAGGTGGACCGTGGGTTGGCCAAGATGCAGGTACCTCTTGAAAGCCAAGCCTAGCTAGCCTAGGCAGGAGTCATCCAAAGGTCTCTGAGTAGACCTCTAGTGTCCTGAGCCTCTGGCCTTGCCATCAGTGGGTCTCCCTTCCTGCAGATGTTTGCCAGTCTATATAATAACACAAAGGTAGGCTCACCGGTACTACCCTGTCTGATGTGGTAGCCTCTCATCCACCTGGCATTCACTGACATTAGCTACATTCTCAGGCATTGAAGACCTACTTCTGCCGTCACACAACCACGTTTCAAGTGCTGTGTGCCTATAGTTTGGGGGAAAAGAGCGTGGGCAGGAACAGACCTCTCGCTGGCCATCTCAGTGAACTATCGGAAACAGAACATCTGGTCCTAAAGCTACTTCTGCAGCTATTTTCAGGTTTAGCATTTCCCTCAAGTAGCAGTCACAAATCCCCAGGCCAGCATGTTCTCCCTTCTGCTTGGAGCCCTTAAGGGGTGGGGGACTGTCTTCCTCATGGGGCTAAAGAACGGTGACGCATACCTGCCACCCAGCTCCTTGGCCCTATAAACAGAGACCAGTAACTGCAGCTGCTGTTCTGTGTGTCCAGGATCCTCACAGGACCGGGTGGGCAGAGCATACTGGATGTCCAGCTGTCCCAACATAATTTTGCTGCCCAGAGGTAGTGGTATCCCTCTCAGATCTTCTGGGAAGCTAATGCATTGGCATCATCCAGAGCACAAAAACTTTAGGCTAAGGATTTCTCATATGCTAGGCATGGAGGGTTCGGGCCCTTTGAGGGCTCTTCAGCATTGGTATCAGGACTTTACACCCCAATACCTGTTTTTATAATACAGTTTTGTTGGCACGGGGCCACGAACATTTGTTTAGCATAGTGACAGTGGCAACTTTGGACAAGAGTTGGGAGGCTTCAAGGGAGACCCTGTGAACTTGAAATGTTTGCTGTCTGATCATTCAGAAAAAGTGGCTGAGGGATGGGTGTGTAGCTCAGTTGATGGAGTACTGGCCTGGCATGGACAGAGTTCTGGGTTCAACCTCCAGCACCCCTAAAACTGAGTGTGGTGGCACATGCTTGTAATTCTAACCCTTGGCAGCTAGAGACGAGATCAGAAGTTCAGTATCATCTGCCGCATGACAGATATGAGGCCAGCCTATATCTGACCCTATCTTAAAAGTAAAAGTCTGGCAGTGGTGGCACACACCTTTAATCCCAGCACTTGGGAGAAGAGGCGGGCGGATCTCTGTGAGTTTGAGGCCAGCCTGGTCTACAGAGCAAGTTCCAGGACATCCAGGGCTACACAGAGAAACTGTCTTGAAACGCCCCCCCGCCCCCCCCCCAAAAAAAGAAAAAGAGGCCAACCATGTTTTAGGTTCCCCTTCTACAGGGGAGGAAGACCAGCAGCGTCTCAGATGATGTGAAAGCTTCCTTGAGAATCATCTTCTCCGAGACTACAGCCCAGGGCCTGAGAGCTGGCTCTGTTGGCAGAGCTCCTAGGGCTGTGGAGAAGTGATAGGTAAATGGATATTGTGAGGCAGAACTTCCTTTGGTACGTGTAAGGAGGTGAGAGCCTCACTGTAAAGCCCTAGCTAACTTTAAACTCACAACAACCGTCCTGTGAACCTCAGCCTCCTGAGTACTGGAATTACAGGCCTGTGCCACACAAACAGCTTTGTCAAATCCTAACAAATCCTAACATTCCTGGGGAGGCAGAAGAGAGACTCGTATTCATTGCAAATAGGGAAGGGGCCAACAGGGTTAAAGAGAAATTCGAAGTCCAGCTTGGCAAATCAATAAGCTTACTGGGGCTTCTTAGAGGCACATGGGTAACACAGACAATGCAACCCCAAAAAGCTCCCATGACCTCACCATCAAAATTTCACTTCTTCTATACTCCAGCATTGGACTAGTTGGGGAGGAGGGAGTGGTGGTCGTGATTTCACAGAAAGGTCTGGTGACTCTCCTCCCTCCCTCCCTCCCTCTCTCCCTCCCTCCCAGGGGGACTGTTAACCCTATTCCCATAGACAGCTGTCTGCTTAGGACTGTTTCTCATGGCCATGACCATGGACCAAGATCTCCAGAGGTCACCAGCTGCTCAACTCCATAATGGCACTGGCTATGTCAAGTCCTAAAGGGGACAACTGTAATACAGAGGGTGTGAGATAGGGGACAGAAGGCTGGGTTGGACCTCGAACCTCTGCCCTGTGCCTTCAGACCCTCAGAGCAGCAGGAGAGCAGCAGAGAGAGGAGGCAAAGCCCAAAGGATTACATCTAGAGTTCCCTCCCACCCTCTTGATGAGGTCTGTGCATGGGGTGTTCCCACGTGGATGGGATGCTCTCACATACTGGGCGTGATTCCACATCTGCTTCTCTTACCGAGGCGCCAGCTCAGCACGGAATTCAGTGCCCACTGTACAACCTTCCCTAGATACATATGGGGCTCTGAATGTGCACCGAACTGTCCAGACCTCTGTGACCTTAACCTTTAGGTCGCTTCCTGGCCCATGAGCTGGTGTTTTGGGGGACAGTGGGTCCTATCTGCCCGACCTTCCTTCCTGCCCAGTGCATGCAGCCTGCCTATGCAGGGATTGGGAACATGGGGGAATGTGACCTGGGTGAGAGAATGGATACCCCAGGCAGGGAGGGATGTCCAGTGGGTAGGCTTCAGGTGCCTGTGTGACCCCTCCCAGGACCAGGTGACTAAATTCAGTGAGGATCTGAGCATCCGCTTCCTAAAGAGGGAGACCAAACTGTGCAGTTTTCTTCAGAAGTGTTTCATGGCCATGGAGCAGGTAAGGGCCGGGGTGGGGCCCAGTGTCCTCATGGATTGCCCACCGGTGGGGTCACAAATTCACAGCAGCTAGTGCTGTCTCCACAGAGAATGAAATCTTCAGAGAGCACACGACTGATGGCAGAAAGCAGCCTTCGAGAGGAACTGGAAAGCCGCTGGCAGAAGCTGCATGAACTGACAGAGGAGCGCTTGCGGGCCCTGCGGACACAGCGTGAGGTAGGCCTGCTGGCCAGGTTGGCTGGGAGATGCAGGGTAGTCACCAAGGCTCAGGGCCACTTCTGCCACAGCAGGAGGAGGAAGGTCACCTGCTGGAGCAGTGCCGGGGCCTGGACAAAGCCGTGGTCTACCTGACGAAGTTTGTGCGACAGAACCAGGTGTCGCTGAATCGTGTCCTGCTGGCTGAACAGAAGGCTCGGTGGGTGTCATGTCAGGACAGTGGGCCACCCAGTCCCTTGCTCAGCTAATCACTGGCTGAGCCCAGCTGGGGAGTGCCCTGCCTCAACCCCTGCAGCTGCAAGTTAAGCACTAGGCCAGTTGGATATGCTATGACAGACTAGCAGCCCTCTGCCAGAGCTCCTGTTCCTTCACCCTGACCCTTGCTCACAGCTCTTTCTTGGTAGCACCCATCCTCTGGTCCATGGAATCACCTGGAAGGTCCCAGAGCTAGCAACCAGGTCCCCTCACTGGCTAGTGCTAAGGGACAGCTTGCGCATCAATATACAGGGAGGCCAAGGTGAGCTTGGAGGAGAGCCAGGCTGGAGAGCTGGCCACATACGTCCATGAGAATCTGGAGGCGGTGCAGATGGCTGGCAAGCTAGCCCAGCAGGAAACCCAGGGTGCACTGGAACTGGTAAGGGGCTGAGTGAGTGGTGGTCAGCAGGGATCCCTGTGGACATAGGCATCTGGCTAGAGCCTCCCTGACCCCACACTGTCTCCTGCAGCTCCAAGAGAAGAGCCAGGTCCTAGAGGGGTCAGTGGCAGGGCTGGACCAGAAGCTGAAGGGCCTGAATGACCACTGTCTAGCTCTCAGCTGGAAGCTAGACCTGCAGGAGCGAACAGTAGACCTGAAGCTGTCCCAGGTGAGGCGGAAGACCCACAAGGAAGGGCAGTAAACAAGATGGGGCCGAGGGTAGAGACCCGATCCTCTGAACCAGGCAGGGTGGCTCCTGCGGTACTCACAGCCCCTTGGCACCATCTCTTTCTCTTTCTCCTTCCTTCTTTCCTTTCTTTCAACAATTCCCCTTTTAACCAGGAGATGGTGGTGCACGCCTTTAATCCTAGCACTTGGGAGGAAGAGGCAGGTAGATCTCTGTGAGTTCAAGGCTAGCCTGGTCTACAAAGTAAGTTCCAGGACAACCAGAAACCCTGCTTGAAAAAGCAAAAACAAACAAACAAACAAACAAACAAACAAAAAACCACAAACAAGAGACAGGTGGATCTCTGTGAGTTTGAGGCCAGCCTGGTCTACATAAGCGAGGTCCAGGAAAGGCACAAAGCTACACAGAGAAACCCTGTCTCGAAAAACAAACAAGCAAAAACACAAACAAACAAACAAACAAACCTCAAACACCTTTTAAAGGATGTAGTTCAGTGGGTTTTGTTTGGTTTTATATTTTATTTGTTTGGGTTTCTTTAATATATATATAATATATATATTCTTTTATGTGTCTGTGTGTACATATCACATGTGTGTGAGTGCTCAAATAGGCCAGAAGAGGGCATCAATCTCCTGAAGCTGAAGTTACAGATGATTGTGAGCCATGGGAACCAAACTCCAGTCCTCCGGAAGAGCAGCAAGTGCTTTTAACTGCGGAGCCATTTCTTCAGCCCATTATTTTTTTTTTATTGTTGTTTTGTTTTAAGCCATGTAGCCTAGGCTGGCCTGATACTCCTAATTTCCCTGCCTTAGCCTCCTGAGTGTTGGGATCACATGTCTGAGCTCAACCCTAATCCTAACTAAGACCCAGTGGTTTTAGTACATTCATAGAAAAGTTATCAGCCAAGTCAGCTTCAAAGCTTTCTCATGACTTAAGCTAGAAACCCCAGAGCCTAACAGTCTCTCTTCTCCTCCATCTAGTTCTGATTTGTGTGCACTAGGCTTGGGTTTCTCTCTTGAGCTGCCTTCATGGGTCATCCCTGTTATATGGACCCACGCTTCACCCCTTTACAGCTGGATAATGTTCCCACATGTAGACAGGCCATGCTTCGCTTATTCCTCTGTTGATAGACACAGGGGGCTGTTCTCTTCCTGAGCTCCTGTGACCACACTCTCTGGTGTGTCTCTGTGACCACCACAGCTGCCATAGGCTAGGCATATCTGTCTCCGCAGTGGCTGTCTGGGCACCTGCAGGGCTATATACAAGCATACTTACAGCCAGACACTCTGCCTCCTGGCTTAGTCAGCCTAGTCTACCCCTCTGTGTACCATCCCTCACTGGATGTTGAAATTGTAGGTGCAGGCTGCATGGGAAGGTGTGGAGAGGAAGTCCCTGCAGGGTCTGGTCCAGTGGCTGAAAGAGGTCTCAGCTCACTTGCAGGAGGTGCAGGAAAAAGTGAACAGCCTGCCCCAGCAGGTGGGTAAGGCCAGGGTGCAGCCAGCCTGGAAGATCCAGGTCTTGGCTGGGCTTGAGCTAGCCTGGTGCTTCCAGTGACTATACTGAGTCATCTTGGGCTCCTACATCTTCCACATTTCAGATAGAAAGTGTCTCCAACAAGTGTGTTCTTCACCAGAATGACGTGGACCTGAAGATCTCTGCTGAGGGCAAGGCCAGGTGAGATTCGAAGCCTCCCAGGGACCTCCTGATTGTCACTGGTCCCCACAGTACTCTTCCAAGCCCTGTACCTCTGCACCTGTGCTTGCTCTGTCCCAGCCAGTCCCACCCTGAGCTCTACCTCCTGTGGTACAGCCTGCATGCACTCTCAAGTTTAGCCCTATGACAGCCTCAGGAATCCTAGCTCAGGGCTAAGCCTTCTTCCTTGGGCTCTGGGACACCCCCCTACAACCAGCCTTTGGTGCCCACAGAGAGTTTGCAGTTGACGCTCTGCGACAGGAGCTAGCCACCGTGCTGATGTCTGTGCAGTTTCTGAAGGAGGAGAACCCTGGGCGTAAGATTGCAGAGATCCAGGGCCAGCTGGCCACGGTATCCCTTGGGCCCCAGGAAATCACCTGTATCTACTTCCCTAAACTCCGGGGTCTTGGTGATTCTGTAGTAGTGGGTACATCTGGACGTCAGCAGTCCATGTCTACCCATGATTGGAGCTGTGTTTAGTTTCAGAAGCAAATAATAAAGTTAGAGAACAGCCTCCAGGCCAACAAGACCATCCAGAACCTCAAGTTTAATAACGAGACCAAGCTGGTGAGAGGAATCTCGTGGAGAACCACTGACCCCCCTCTCCCTCTGCCTATCTGTCCCGAGTCCCTCTGTGCCTGTCTTCATGGGGCCCCAGGCAGTTCACTAGCAGGGTGGTACTGAACAGTGCTTCCTAGCCATGAGGCCCTGCTGCTGGACTTCCTCCCTAGAAGATGTCCCCACATACGCACATCCTCTGCCCACCCCTGTGACCCATTCTCCATTTCTCTGCAGTTGCCCCGCCCCCACGGGTCCTGTTAACACCGTACCTCTGCACTTGTAGCGCACAGAGGAGATTGCAACCCTGCGGGAGAACATGCTGAGCCTGTGGAGTGAGGAGGGCCCCTGGCCACTGACGCTGGGCAGCAAGCGGGTATTCATGTCCCTGGTGAGGCAGCGGTTCTTCATCAAGGACATAGCCCTGGGCGAGCTGGTCTCTGTGAACTCCTGGGGCGTGTATCAGGCTGTGAGGTGGGCAGCTGAGAGCCTGGGTCTCCTAAGGGTAGCAGCCCAGCCACAAGGAGTTGCGTTGTGGATGAGCTGTGTCTCTGGGCAGGTGGCTTCAGTGGAAGACAGTCCTCTTGAACTTGATGGCCCAGCAAAGACCAGGAGCAATCTCAGCGATGACCCACTGGAAGCCTGTACCCAAGATCATGTCTCTGACCCTGTCCCAGAAATAAAGACGCCAGTTCTCGTACCTGTTGGAGCCAGGGTCTCCTGTTGTCTGATGGAACGGCTTTTCCACAGCTCATAGCCTGATGAGGGGTCAAGTAGTGAGAGAGGCAGACCAAACTCAGAAGGCCCAAGCTGTCTGGCCCTGGAGGACCCTTCCTGCCCGGCCTAGCCCACGGCACTTTTATCACTTTTCACGGCATTTTTGTGTAGAGGCACCCAGGCCACACCTGTCAGGACCCACCCCGGCTACCTGTGAGGACAAATGTAAGGAGTGAGGACACGGAGTGTGTCCTCACATCATCCTCAACCCTGCGCAGCTGCCATTAACACTGAAGTGCCACAAAGGAAGCCACTTGTGAGCATGAATCTGGAGAGTCAATATCTGCTTCTTTGTGTGATCAAGTGGTGTCCCTCTTATGGCCTCTTGAGAAAACCTGGCCTTTGCATGAAGCTCCGCGTCCTCGCTGCCAGCCTAGCTGAGGAGACGGCACTAGAATCATCAGCCCTACAGAGAGAGACAGCAGGGAGGCCTAGCCTTCTTTGGTCCCTAACCCAGCCGCCCTTTGCCACTGACTTGAATCTTGGGGCTGGCTTGGTAAAGAATGGGAGGGACATGTCTGCAAGTGACTCACAGTTCCTGCCTAAGTTCTGTCCACTTCCTGTGGGCAGAGTTTTGAGGCCTGCTGTGTATAGTGGGATCCTCCAAGAACTAGTAGCCAGGTGTGGCTAGGTCTAAACAAGCGTTTGCTCTCCCTACTCAGTGCTGGTGGCGGCAGCTCTAGGCTCAGGATAAGCTCAGATCCCCTCAGGCCTGCTCTTCTCTTGAGGGGGACGTCAACTGTTTGGTTGCTTGGATATACCCACTGGGGAGGTGCCTGGGCCACAGGAAGGAGAGGCTGGGTGCCCGAGAAAGGGCCCTGCTACCCCAGCACAGTCCTGACCTCCCACTCATTAGATCTCAGTCAGTTGTGTCCCCTCCAGAGCCTGGGCGCCTCCACTCGGCAGCTCCGCGCTGCCCTCGGCAGACCAGCTGGCCAGAAGGTCACTGAAATCCGGCGTGTCTGCATGCAGTAGGCCTAGTGGGCTGGGCACAGGCTCCTTCCAGAAGGATGGCGGCAGCTTCCTCTGGGTCATGGGGGTAATGTGGCTGTACTTGCGCTCCAGCCTCAGTCTTTGACAAGCTGACACTCTGGGCCTGGAGAACTGCAGAAGCCCATAGTCAAAGAGCTCGGCCAGGGGCCCCAGTGGTGGCACCCTGTCTCCTCTGGGGCCCAGCCTGTGCACCTGACCCTCAGGCCCCCCAGGCAAATGCACACCGAGTTCAGGAGCCTCCTCATCCTCCGGGGGCCCATCCCGGGCCAGGCATACTAGGTCAGCATAGTACAGATCCCGGGCAGAGCAGCTGGCTGGTTGGCTGTCAGAATAGACATCCTGGGCATCTGGGTCTTGCCCTGTGTCCTTGCGTCCAAAGTACCGCTGGATGTCGCCACTGATGAGCTCTGAGAAGCGCAGCAGCTGCATTGGGGTCTCAGGGCTGCTGGGACTCTGGGGAGCCACTCCTGAGCTCGGGGAGTCTGGTCTACAGCCCTGTGGCACCTCATCTTGCAGCTCCTGGTCTCCCTCTTCCTCCTCCTCTTCTTCTTCTTCCTCCTCCTCCTCTTCCTCTTCAGAAGTTTCTGGAGCCTCCAGGTCTGTGGGCAGGAAGGACTGGTGTGTTGGTAGAGGCAACCGGAAGTCACAGACAGACCGTATCACACCAGCAGCCATCTTGTTGGAGTTCCAAACTTCTGGCGGGCGGTGGTCCTGGGGTAGCAGACACAAGCTAGGAGGGAAGTGAAAAGGTAGGTTGGCAAGTCACAGGTGGCAGTGCCCACTGGACACAGCCCGAATGTATGGTCCTGAAAAGGCTGCCTCGGCTCTTTTCTCTCTTGATCCCTGGGCCCCCTGAGCTCAGAGAGGCCCTACCTGCCTCAGTCAGAGAGGTGTACAGGATCCTCTTGTATAGGGTGGGGCCATCACGGAACAGAGGAACCATCAGAATCCCCACAGTTGTGGTCACACAGGCCACAGAGTAGGGTAGGAGGCAGAAGTCCTGGAGATCAGTACCATCCAGACAGGCAGGCACAGGCACTGGACAAGGAGTCTACCTTGTCCCAGCATGGATCACTGTGGAGACAGGACCAACACCTGCCTTCACGGGTCCAGAACCCTGGCAGATGCTTGGGGGAGCTTCAAGGGCCGTGGTGGCCAAAGATCCCCACCCAACCTGGTTCTTACCTAGCTACAGTCACGGCTCTGGGGTTCTTTTCTGAGGTGGTACATTGTTGGGGTTTAGTTTGTTTGTTTGTTTTTTGCTTTTGTTTGGTTTGGTTTTCTTTTGTTTTGAGATAGGTTCTCTTTTATAGCCCTGGCTGTCCTGGAACTTGCTGTGTAAACTGGACTGGTCTCAAACTCACAGAGGACTGCCTGTCCCTGCCTCCAGAGTTCTGGGATTAAGGACATGTGCCACCATTGCTGGGTAGGGGTTCTTGTTTTTTAAGTAAAGGGTCTAGCCGGACAGTGGTGGTTTGTGCCTTTAATCCCAGCACTTCAAGAGGCCGAGGCAGGCGGATCTCTGTGAGTTTGAGGCCAGCCTGGTCTACAGAGCAAGTTACAGGACAGCCAGGGCTACACAGAGGAAACCCTATCTTGAAAAATAGCAAAAAGAAAAAAAAAGGGTCTCAATCTGGGCATGATGACATACGCCTTTCATCTCAGTATTCAGGAGGCAGAGGCAGGCAGATGTCCGGGTTCAAGGCCAGCCTGGGCTACAGAGTGAGATCCAGGACAGCCAGGGCTACACAGAGAAACACGGTCTAGAAAAACTAAAAAAGAAAGAAAGAAAGAGAGAAAGAAAGAAAGAAAGAAAGAAAGAAAGAAAGAAAGAAAGAAAGAAAGAAAGAAAGAAAGAAAGAAAGAAAGAAAGAAAGAAAAAAAGAAAGGAAGGAAGGAAGGAGTCTCAGCTTGGAGAACCTGCGTCAATCTTGCCTTAGCCTCCTGAATGCGGGACTGATAGGCATGAGGCACCACACCCAGCCAGCCCTGGGTTTTGATACTTGATCACAATAGGAGAATACTTGAGTGACCTCCCCCAGACCTCCTGCTAAGGGTAGGAGGGAGAGATGAAAGATCCCTAAAGGAGTGGACCCCACGGATTGCTGTGCAGGTCCGAAAAGGCGCAAGGACAGCTACTGAACCTGAGGAAGAGGAGGTGATTGGGAGAGTAATGTGGCTCTTCCTGGCTAGTGGCCCTGAAATGGCGGAATCTGGATCCTAGAGTCACCAGGCTCCTTCACAGAAAGGGGAGCAAGCATCTAACTAGGTGTTTCAGAAGAGGATCCCTCTCTCTGAGAGGCCGGGGTATGAGTAGCCCCTTGGTCAGATCCCCTCAGGGTCAAACTGCACAGCCCCTCCCTGCTGTCCTGACACCCTGAGTTTGGGGAGCAGAGGCTGGCCACTTCCATGTCTTACAGTGCTGGATCCCCCAGTCCCAGGAGGTGTCCAGTGGTCCTGACACTAGTCTTTGGGGGTGATTGCTAATGGAGAGCTCAGTGCAGACATATTCCCTGTGGGAGGAACCCCCCGCCATCCCTCCTCACCATCCCAGAAGACTCCAGCCCACACACCCAGGCTCCTACCTGACTGGGACTGCAGCGCTCACTCAGCAGGCCCCCCTCCACCCGGGGTGCAAGCATTTATAGCCGGGCTCCACAACTGCCTGGGGCCAGCAAATATTTGGCAACGGCATTGTCATCGCAGACTGGGCAAACAGATCCCGTTTGCTTTAGCACCCAGCAACCAGAGCCCCGCGGGGGGAGTGCCCGCAGACCGCCTCACCTGCACGCAGCCTGCCCGGGGACCGTGGAGTGTTTGCCTCAGGCCCAGCTGGCCCACACCCTGGACCCGAGGACCCTTATCTGTGCTGCTGATTGGGGCCCCATCCAAGCCTTGTCAAATAGGCGGAAAATTAAATTTCATGCTATTTTGAGTTCTGGAGTACGCCTCTCCAGAGGACATCCTGCCTGCGGTGCATGCTATAAACCATGCTCTGCGGCAGCGGGGTCGGGGACAACGGGAAGGGACGAGGCTATGCAGCAACCGCCCACCAGGTCCAAGATGGGAGCTAATACTTGCAGCCCTTATAACCTCTTCCACGCTTCTCCAGCCTCTGGGCCTTTGTGCTCTGAGATCAACCACAACCACGGTAAGGACTGTGAGGACTCTCCTGTAGAAGCTGCCACCCACTTGCCCAGAAACCCAGCTGTAGCTGTAGTTAGTCTGATTGAACCCACTGCTGTCCTGATCATCCTTAGTGGGGTTGGCACAAGGCACCTCCCTTCTTTGGATGCTCCTACACCTAAGCGGAGTTGGGGGGCTCCAACGCCTGCCTGTCCTCTGCAGTCCTCCTGAGGCCCTCTGCCTTTCTGGTGGTGTATTAGCTTCCTCTGGCTTCTTTAATCGCTGATCCCAAATTGGGTGGTTTAGAACAACAGGAAATGATTCTCTGTCCTCCTGAAGGCCAGAGTCCAAACTGAGATGTCAGCAAGGCTGGTTCCTTCTGGAAAGCTGAGGAGCTCCTCGGGGTGCCAGCCGCTTGGTGTTCCTTGTCTTGAAGACTGTCATTACCACCAATGCTGTTGTCTTCACACAGGCTTTCACTCTTTTTAAAACCTCGAGACAAGGTCTTGCTCTACGGCCTATGCTGGCTATAAACTAGCGGCCAGCTGAGTGCTGGGTTTGCAGGCATGCGCCACCAGGCTTGGCTGGCAATTCTTACAAGGGTGTTCACCAGAGACTTTAGGGCCACCTGAAGCCAGCACATCCTCAGCTTCACTAGCCACATCAACAAAGACTTTCTTCCAAATATATTCATATATTGAGCGGCTTAGGGTAGACGTGCATTTAACGGGGACACTATTCTAGTCGATCCAGGTCCCCTCCAGGAAGAATGTGGCCCCCGGGGCATTCAGCTGCCCTGAAGTAGCCCCCAGTGAATTCAAGTGTCATCAACTATGGTTCCTTCTGCTGGGGCTAGTTCCAAGGGCAGGAAAGCAGCTCATCCCAGCATGCTTTCACCATCTTAGGCCCAAAGCGTTTGCTGATTGTCTCTAAGTCCAGCTCTTCACCTGGCCAAGGGGTTAAGAGGGATGTGGGTACCATTTACCTTCCCCGGGTCCTTCCTTGTTCCAGACGATACCCCCACTTCAGGCAAGGACAGCACCTTGATTTCAAGCGAGTGTGACCTTCTTGGGACTCTAATATTCAGGCTGAGGGCATGTCACCTGACACTCCAGAACACTGGCCTTCAGCCTTTTCCTGTCCCTGAGCCCATACTTGATGGCTTCAGTCAGTTTGTGGCTCCTGGAGGTAGGAGGTTAAGTGAACCAACCCTGAAGATACTCCCCACCTAAACAACAACATCAAAATAGGTCAGGCAGTGGTGCCACAAGCACTTGGGAGGCACTGGGGAGGCAGAGGCAGGCAGATCTCTGTGAGTTCGAGGCCAGCCTGGTCTATAGAGCAAGTTCCAGAATAGGCTCCAAAAGCTACACAGAGAAACCCTGTCTTGAAAAACAAAACAAAACAAAAACAAAACAAAACAAAACCAAAACAAAACAAAAAAGATACTTCCCACCTGGTCACTGGAGTCAGGACCCTCACCCAGCAGGGGAAAGCCAGAGGGATATGAAAAGTCTTCAGGGATGAGACCCTCCAAGGGCTACGCTGAATTGGGGATGTGCTGAGATTGGTAGACTGCTTGCCCGGAATGCCCAAAGCTCAGGGTTAGATCTCCAGTGCCATATAAACTGCATATGATGGTGCATGCCTATAATCCCAGCATTGAGAGGTGATCCTTAGCAAGTTCAAGGCCACACTAGGCTACATGAGACCCTGTGACAAAACAACCTGTAGGCAAGGCTGACACCCTGGCATAGATGTCTGGAAAGCTGCTTACATCATAGGTTGTATGCCTGGAGAAGGGCAGCCTGGAGCAGGGCTGACTTCTGCCGTGGAATGAAGTGTGCCTGGCTAGGCCCAGTTCTGAGTGTCCATTCTGCTCCATTTACTTCTGACCATGTCAGGCTCCAGGGTCTAAAAACACTCGCCACTCTTGGCTGTGGGTGACCCTGCTTCAGCCTCAGGCAGCTTACCCACCGGAGCCCAAACCTGCAGGAGGACCAGGGACGGGGGCGTATGTGTGTGTGTGTGTGTGTGTGTGTGTGTGTGTGTGTGTGTGTGTGCAGTTGCTCCAAGCTGAAGCCACATCACCCTCTACTGCTGGTTGTGAGGACACGCTGGCTCAGGAAAGGGATGGAAACACGTGGATGATGTAACACTGACAGGTGAGCCTGGGGTCTACAGCTGAGCACTTGCTGGACAGGCAGGGAAGAGGTAGCCAGGGCCTGGGGGAGTTGGGTAGAGTACCCAGAAGGGCAGGTGGGCTGTGGCCTGCACTCCACCCCCACCAGCACTGGAGACAGGGAAGACATATGAGGCTGTGGGTGCCGACTGCCACCGCTCACGTGGTCAAGTCTTGGGCTTTCTGGACCTCAGGCTGGGTGCTTCAAGAGGAAGACACGGGACACGATTCTGCCCTGGAGAAGGGCCCACCTGTGTGACCAAAGAATGGGCTTTGGAAGAGCCGGGTGTGAGGCAGGGGAGGTAGATGGACAAGCTGAGGCAGGAAGAGTGTCCCAACAGAGGAAAGCGTCTGAAAAGAGCCAGCCACCACCAAGGAGCTAGAATCCCCAAGGTCCTCACAGTCTTCACCATACAGACATGGGGGGCCAGAGAGCCTGAGGCTAGAAGATGCCTCTCTGCTGGCTTTGAAGATAAAGGAAAGGACCATGAGCCGAGGGATTTGGGGACTTTCAGAAGCTGGGAAACAAGGAATCCAGTTTTTCTTGCAGTCTCTGGAATGTCATCTATGCCTTAATTTCAAGCCAGTGAAACTCTCCTGGACTCCAAACCCTTCTTGGGAAACCCGCCTAGGCCACACAGCTGACCTCATAAACATTGGCACAAAAGGAACACCGTAGTAAGAGTCATGGCTGCAGATGGGGCTGGGTGGACTTGTAGGACCCTGGGGCTCCCAGCATGGGGATCCCCTCTACCAATGTCCTAATTGAGATCATGCTCAGGTGAGGTCAAGAAGTCCAGAGCTGCCGAGTGGTGGTGGTGCACACTTTTTTTTTCTATTATCAGCTTGATACAGTATAAATTCTTATCCTAAAAGTAAAATGTTTCACTGAGGCTTGCCCAGTAATTGAGTAAAACCAAAACTTATTATAAGCCACAGTCATCCTAGGGTCCCCCCTGCTATGTAGCCTCCCTGGTTCTGTGGGTTGCAGTCTGATTGTTCTTTGCTTTATATCTAGTATCCACTTATGAGTGAGTAAATACCATGTTTGTCCTTCTGGGTTTGGGTTACCTCACTCAGGATGATATTTTCTAGTTCCATCCATTTGCCTGCAAATTTCATGCTGTCATTGTTTTTCTCTGCTGAGTAGTACTCCATTGTGTATATGTACCACATTTTCTTAAGCCATTCTTCAGTTGAGGGGCATCTAGGTTGTTCCCAGGTTCTGGCTACTACAAATAGTGCTGCTATGAACATAGTTGGGCATGTATCTTTGTGGTATGATTGAGCATTCCTTGGGTATATGCCCAAGAGTGGTATGGCTGGGTCTTGAGGTAGATTGATACCCAATTTTCTGAGAAACCAGGTGGCACACACTTTTAATCCCAGCACTTGGGAGGCAGAGACAGGTCGATCTCTCTGAGTTCAAGGCCAGCCTGGCCTACAGAGTGAGTTCCAGGACAGCCAGGACTACACAGAGAAACCCTGTTTTAAAAAAAGAAAAGAAAAAAGAAGGCTGGGCGGTGGTGGCGCACGCCTTGAATTCCAGCTCTCGGGAGGCAGAGGCAGACGGATCTCTGTGAGTTAGAGGCCAGCCTGGTCTCCAAAGCAAGTTACAGGAATGGCGCAAAGCTACACAGAGAAACCCTGTCTCGAAAAACCAAAAGAAAGAGAGAGAGAGAGAGAGAGAGAGAGAGAGAGAGAGAGAGAGAGAGAGAAAGAAAGAAAGAAAGAAAGAAAGAAAAAAGAAAGAAAGAAAAAAGAAAGAGAGAACTCCAGAGCCAAACAATGGTGGTCCATGATTGTAATCCTAGCCCTGGGAAGGCAGAGACAGGAAGACCCTGGGATCCAGCTAACCTTGCCTTCTTGAGTCTCAACCCAGTATGGGACTGTCAGAAAATAGAAAGGTTAAGGCTGAGCATGGTGGCACAAGACGTTAATCCCAGCATTTGGGAGGCAAAGCCAGGCAGATCTTTGTGAGCGCATGGCCAGTCTGGGTTACATAGTGAGTTCCAGGACAGGCCAGAGTTACCTAAAGAGCCTCTGTGTCGAAAAATAAAAAACAAAAAAGTAAACAGCACCTGAGAAAACACACCGAAAGTTGTCCTCTGGCCTCCACATACATGAATACACACATTCACAAGTGCCCTTCCCACATACATGCACACCCCACGACACATGCACATACATATCATACATACAAGCACACATGCAAGGAAACCAAAGAATACCAGAGCCTCAGCTGTTCCCTATGTGTGGGGAGGCCCTCTCCTGCATAAGGAGGGCGTGGGAGGTCACTCCCCAGGGCTGCCTCCTCCCCAGGGCTTGGGTTTTACACACCCCCACCCCCCACCCCTTCCTCCCCCCTTGTCTTACCCAGGCATGTGAACATGGGAGGAGGCCTTTGACAGCTTTAAGTCCTGACCTGACCAGGTGCAGAGATGCTCACTGGTGCCGGCTGAGAGAAGGCTGTCCACTGACAGGACCTTGTCCTTACCCTGGAGTAATTCTGACGCTCTTCACTGCCTGGCAAGAGACTGTGGGGGAAAGCCACAAGTGAGGGTGGAAGATTCTAAAATGGGGAGAAACCAGAGCAGAGTGCTCTCTGGGAAGAGAAGCCTGTGGGGCCGGCATGGGGATGGGAGGCCTGAGGGAGGAAGCCAGAGTGCTGCTGCAGGAGTCCAAGCGAAAGGAATGGGGATCTCACAGGGGCAGTCTGAGAGTGCCGGTGTAGGGGAGACTGGAGACTTGAAGGGTGTGGGTAGGGAGTCAGCCCCCCACTTTTCACCCCCATGTGTTGTCAGCCATGTTCACGGCAGACTAGGTGTCCTGCAGGTAGAGACTGAACTCCAGCTTTTGTCTGGTAAGGCTTGGTTGGAGGACTCTGGGTCAGTGGAGACACACACTTTCCTAGAATGGCTGCCTCATATGTCTAGCTGGCAGTTAGTGGGTGGATAAGGCCCGTCCGAGCCCCTGTCACCCTGGCTTTGTCACCTGCCATTTCAAGACCCTGGAGGGGGCCGGGGCTGAAGCATATGTCCTAGCATCTGCTCCTAACTGGGCAATGGTTTGGGCTGGGCCCAGAAAATCTCCTTGCCCGCTGTCTCCTGCCCTGCCAGCCCCCACTGTCAGACCTCAGACCCTGGGAGAGCAGGACTCTGCTCTTACAGAGACACAGACCTGCCTGGCCCCAGGCACCTGGTATCTATTTTCCTGGGAAAATCAATAGCTCCAATATGTCAGCTCTTAAGTGGAGCTACAATAAATTACCCTGCCATTAAGCACAGTGACGGCTGCCGCCTCTGCCTCCCCATTAGAGAGACATTAGGCTTCCCATGAAATTTCTCTGTGTGCTTTGCAATAATGAGGGCTGAGGTGTTGGTTTATGTCCCTGAGGGGCGAGGCAAAGGCTCCATATACAGTGTGGTGGCATATCACATCTTGGAGCTTCTACTACAGGGCTGCTTCTTCTCCAGCTTCCTGGCCAGGCTCCTGTGGCATAACCTGCTAGAAAGAGTGATTCCTCCAAAAATGTTTGTTGGAGGATGGTTGGTCCAGGAGTAGGTGGCTAAGGAATGGGGTCCAAGGACACAGGGCACTGCCCTGGACCAGATGCCTTCAGGAGCAGAGTGATGCTAAGGTGGTGTCTGTATCAGTTGCTGGGGTTCTGTGACTGAGCGCCATAAACTTGGTGACTTAGAACAATGGACATGTGGGGCTGTGGAGACGGCCCAGCAGTTCAGAGCACTGGCTGCTCTTACAGAGGACCTGGGTTCTGTTCCCAGCACCCACATGGTGGCTCACAATCATCCCTAACTACAGTTTCAGGGGATCCAGCACCCTCTTCTGGCCTCCATGGGCACCAGGCACACACACAGTGCACATACATATATTCATTGCAAAACACATACACATAAAATAGACATTTTTTTTCAAAGGCAGGGTTCTCTGTGTAGCCCTAGCTGTCCTAGAACTAGCTCTGTAGACCAGGCTGGCCTCGAACTCAGTGATCCACCTGCCTCTGCCTCATGAGTGCTGGAGTTAAAGGTGTGTGCCACCCCTTTTGACTTAATTTTTTTTTAATTAAAAAAGAGGATATAGGCCAGGTGGTAGTGGCACACTCCTTTAATCCTAGCACTTGGGAGGCACAGGCAGGAGGATTTCTGTGAGTTTGAGGCCAGCTTGGTCTACAGAGCTAGTTATAGGACAGCCAGGGCTACACAAAGAAGCCCTGTCTTGAAAAACAACAACCAAAGGAGGATGTATTCCTGATAGTCTGGACTAGAGGTGTTCGCCACCACCACCCAGCTTACAAAGACCTTCCCTGTGGCTGGTGACCCGACGGTCTGGACTAAAGGTGTTCACCACGGCCCAGCTTACAAAGACCTTCCCTGTGGCTGGTGAGGCTCAAGCTCGGGTCCTCAAGCTTGCATGGCGAGCACTTTGCAGACTGAGCTGCCCCCCCTTCCCCCAGCCCTAAGTTTCTGTCTCTGATCTGAGAGAGTCTTTGAGACTGATGTGGGCTCACTGGTCATTGTCAGAGGCTGGTCCCCCACAGGGTGAAACTAACTCTTGCTTCACCTCCTTGATGGTCCCATGGCTTGTCCTGGGCAGCTTGTGTCTGGCTTCCCTAGAGTCCTGTCCAGGAGCCTGGCTCCCTTCACACCTTAGGGCCTCAAGAGCTCTACCTCCTTCAGGAAGCCAGCCCAGCCCACCCCACCCCCAGCTTGCACATTAAGTTAGTATATATAAGCCTATATATTAGCCTATAGTTAAGGCCCTAGGTGCTGCTAGGTCCTTGCCAAGAGAGTGGTGTGGTAGCGTGGGGTTCTGTGCTGGAACAGGTGGGGCAGGGCGCAGGGAGGAGGAGCTGGGCAGACAGGTGCCTCTGTTGACACAGCAGCTCTTAGCCAGGGTCCTGGGTTGGGCCTCTCAGCATGGGGAGGTCTCACAGGTGTTGCTGGGCTCCAACATCTCTAGTATCCCTCCTGCTCTAACATAGTGAGTGCCTGGGGCAAGCACGTGAGTGCGAGGCTTTTGCCACTACTAAGTGGGCACAGGACACAGCATACTCCAGGTAACAAGGAGGCTGCTGATTCTGTTTCATCCTGGGGAGGATCACAGCCCCCAGGACCCTCTTTTGCCCACAAAACAGTAAGTAGACAAAAGCTAAGGTCACCTTCACGATGACAGACTGAGTGTGCTGCCCCAGGAGGGAGACCGTGAGCAAAGGGAAAAACCAGGCAAAAACCAGGTCCCAAGGTCCCAGCCTTCTGCACTTGGAGGGAACAAGGCACGTGGATTTACAGGTTGCCCAGTAAGCCTGCAATTGGAACAGGTACCAATTTCCCTGCAAGATTCTGGATCTAACTTACTTCAGGTCTCTATTTCCCTGGGTGGGGAGAAGTTTAAGGTCAGCTCTCCAGCAGAGAAGTTTCAAGGGAAGACAGGTCAGCGGGGCTGAGTGTTTGGAGGTGAACTTCATGTCTTCAGGAGCCAGGTTGCTGTACTGTGAGGGGTTGTCTTTCCCTCTCTGAAGCCTAGTGAGGGCATCCTCCACCTCTTTAGGGGTGCTGTGTAAGACTGGGCTTCCCCTAGCAGGAATGTCTACCTCACTACCAGTCACAGGCTGAAAGGTCAACTTCCTGTCTAACTTCTCCCTTCCCATGCTCTGGTGCCTTCAGACACTATCCCCTGAGCAAAATAGAAGCATGGGGACTCTGCTTGCCCAGAAGGGATCCTAGGTTTCTGGGACTCACAGCTGTCTGACCCGTGAGACAGAGAGGGAGGTGTTCATATTTTTTTTGTGACTGATTCATAGATCAAGAACAAATCCAGAGTGATATAACTCATGGCAGTTTCTATGTAGCATAGGTAGATAGATACTGTTGGGGCTGATCCTGTCTTTTGATTTTGTATTTTATATCGGGTTGGTGTTCTATCTATATAGTCCAAGCTGGCCTGGAACCAGCGGTCCTCCTGTCCCTGCCTCCGGTGTGGGGATTACAGGCTTGCCTGGTTCTGAAGATGCACTGAGCCTCAATCAGCTCCCAGCTCAAAACGCCAGGTGAGGTACGGAGTTTAATTCCAGAATCGCCTCCCTGTAGGCTGGTAACTTATCCAGGGTCTGGACATCCCCCACAGAGCCATTTCCATTCTCCCTGAGGGCAAAGGGATTCTGGGGACTTGGCCAAGTGGCGTCTACGATGCGAAGGCTTCCCACCTTCGGGCATAACTGAGGTGGACGTAGCTGGCAGCTGAGACACTGGCCAAGCAAGAGGCTGAGATCCTGGATAGAGCGCTAAGAATGGAAGACGCGCTTCGGAAGAAAAGAGACCAAGTCCCTCCGGGATGATGGTCCTGGAAAGAAGGCAGCAGAGGCCAAGGGTTCTCACGTCTGTGCGCATCTCGGGCATCAGACTGAACAGCCCCCCAGCCAAGCTCTTCCCGGAGCCGCCCCGCCGGCTCCAGTCTCCACCGAGAGACCGACAGACACACGAAAGCCATTGGGCCACCAGGGCGGAACCCGAGACGGAAGAGCTCGAGGGAGGAAGCGCGTCATTTCCGCTGCGCGGCTGGACACACGTTCTGTAGTCGTGAGAGATAGTGGATGTGAAGTTCGACTTCCGGTTCTGTGCGCCGGAAGCCACGAAAGCGCAGGGCGCCGCCGAGTGCGAGCCGAGGTCGCTATGAGCGGTGTCCTGTGTTCCCGGGGTGCGGGGTGAGCGCTGGGAGGTGCAGGTGGGCTGGGGCGGGAGGCGGCCGTGGCGGCGGGACGCTGACTGCTGACTCTCTTCCAGAGCGGTCCGGGCTCTGCGGCTTCTGGGCTGGGCTTCGCGAAGCCTGCACCCGCCGCCCCATGGCGGGTCTCCAGCCCAGCCTACAGACAGGGAAGAGGAGAAAGACGACCTCAACCTCCCCATCCAGTTTTCCTCCAGCAAAGCCACCCCAGCCCGCTGGACGGTGGAGCATTCGCTGGGGAAGGAGCAGCAGCGGCCCTTGTGGAAAGTGCTGCCGATCACCTTCACCCTCACGATTCTGATCCTCTGGTGCTATCTAAGGCAGGAGACTAGCACGGACCAGTGGTTGAGACAGGTGTTGGGAGAGGAGGACGAGGAGGACGAGGAGGAGCCGGACGGTCGTCTGGAGGAGCCCGAAGCTCCGGATTTTTACGGAGCTAGAACGTAACAGGGTTCCTGCTGAGGAAGAAAACAGGCGGCCGTCCCTCTGTTCCGTTGTCGAGTTTGGCGATTTCTGACCTGATTCTGTATGCGTCTTCGATGCTTTAAAAGGACTTTTGGAGCTGAGACGCGAGAACACAGCACGGAATTGGAGGCTCGAAATCTGATCCTTGCCAGGACACCAGTGCCCAGTGATTACGTCCAAAGGACTTTTGAGGTTCATAGAGAAGGTTTTGGCTGCCCCGTGTGCTGTTGAGTTTGTGATGTGTTTGTACAGCCTAATCATGTTTCCAGGGCAGTTCTGGTGGGGATGTTACCTGCAGTTCATTTGCTTTCTGACACAGAATAACTGCAGAAGGTTCGCACTTTGTATTATGCCATGGTGTGTACAACATCAGTTGGAGCTACTTTAAATGCTAACAGATGCAAAATACATTTGTAAAGTCTAATGAACACAATTCTCCCCTTGCATCAAGTGGTTTTTTGTTGTTGTAGTGGTCGTTGTTTTTCGTTTGTTTGTTTTGTTTTTTTGAGACTGAGACTTCCCTATATAGGTCTGACTGGCCTGGAACTGGCTGTGTAGACCAGCCTCACCTCAGACAGAGATCTGTCTGCCTCTGCCTCCAGCTCTCCAATGATGGGGTTAAAGGTGGGCAGCAGGGCCGGGCGGTGGTGGCGCACGCCTTTAATCCCAGCACTCGGGAGGCAGAGCCAAGCGGATCTCTGTGAGTTCGAGGCCAGCCTGGGCTACCAAGTGAGCTCCAGGAAAGGCGCAAAGCTACACAGAGAAACCCTGTCTCGAAAAACCAAA